TTATGATTTCTTTAAGAAAAGATAGTTTTGTTTTATAACGGGGCTGCTATCAACGGTAATATGTAAAATCTTATTTTGAAGTTTCCATGATCAAGTTTACACCAAAAAGCAAGGAAGCAACACTTAATAAATTTGGTTAATTTAGAGGCAAAGCTGAACTCAAAATCTTTTATGTGAGAAATCTGTTAAAAATCAAAATTTTTTAATGTTTACCTTCAAGAAGATATATTATAGACTTTGTCTAACACAGGTGGAAATGGTTACGATGTAGAACAATGTGATTAAAGTTGTGTTTTTCTTGTTTACAACCATGTTTGACATTCGTATGAATCTGCCCTACTAGCGGGATAGATTCGAGTTCCGGGTGCTAGATTAAATCATTAACTAAAGGCTAGGAAATATAGTTAGAAAATTTATTAGTAAAGAGGGTAGTATACAGTTGGTTATATAATAAGAAACATAGGTGCCCTTTAGTTTTTTTTCATTATGTACATCACTCTTTTTCAGTGATGTTTTTCTTAATCTCTCCATTTTTAAAAGCTCTTTACCTATCAACTCTGTCGTCAGTGTGTAGATTTTTGATCCAGCTGAAAATTTTTTTGGTTTAATAGTTTTAGATAGGGCCCCCGCTGTAAACATTCTCAGCGAATATCTACCCATCCTATCAAACTTCTGTACCACCGCTTTCTAAACAGACCCCTTCTATTGTAACTCCGCCAACTTTTTATGCCGCTCTCCTGACCAAAAAGAGAATTCCCCAGTCAACTCTACCAACACTTCGATAACTCCTTTCAATGTTGACGACAAACATCTCAATAATGTTAAAAAAGGTCAAGGGCCTATAAATTCGGTTTGGCAATGGTTTTTAGTAACTAAAAGCACTTCGTCCTATCCATTTTTTGTTCTGGAACGCAGATGGCGTTCTACAAGGTAACAAGAGTTGCAGGAATTGAAGCTAAGCGAAAGAATAGATCTTTGTATTATTGGTGAGACCCGTCTTTTCAGCGTTCCATCCAATCTCTGCAACCTTTCGACGTACCACCAGGATCGCGGAGGTGTAGCTAAACTGATTAAACAAAACATTCAAGATAGTGTGATATTATTGCCACCCCTGCAAAGCATTAAAGCGGTTAGAGTTTCCCTCTCCTCAATCAGCTAATGATCCATGTCAGGAATTGCAGCTTATAAGTCCCCCAGCAGCCCACTTGTTACCTCAGATCTTGATGCGCTTTCTATATATATTGCCTCAGTACTTATATGTGGGGATTTTAACTGCAAGCATTCCACCTGACACAGCCGTGTCGAATAACACAAACCGCCGAATCTTCAATCTCACACCTACAAACGCAAACTGGGCGTCTTATGGCCAAATTACCTAACGCAAATAGCGGAGACAAGGATATCAGACGTATGGCATGGCCTTTTTGAATATATTCATATTTTAACAGCAATGGAAGCCCTACTCTCTTCGGATCATCTGCCGGTTCTCCTTAGTTTGGCGACAAAAAGGAGTTACTGAGGCCATAACCGAGAATTTTTACGGGCTGGGCTCAATTCTCCGAGGTTCCGGATATAATTTACTCAACACCCCCCGCCTTACTCAAGGCACCCGTCCTACTTAACTTTGCTGTAGCTGAACTCGAGGCGTACACCGCCGCGACAACACGTACAGTTGAATTCTTCCCTAACCGCTTGCCAGATGAATCGAAGACTCCTATCTTTCAGCGGTGACGCTTTAATCGAGCGTCCACGGGGCCACATGCCTCGAAAAAAAATTAGCACTTAATAGACTACACTGGCTCATTAGGAAAGAGCTGTTAGCGCATCACAAGCGGTTGTGGGAGACAAAGTTAAGTATACATTGGATGATAACAGTAACGGTCGCGACTCTTTATGGAAGTTTATTAGTAAATACAAAAACCGGGAGCGTTTACAATAACCTGCCATGTGAGGAGGCATTTTTGTGACCTGCTTATTAAGTTACTGATGAAGTGCGTTGTGAATCTAAAAATGCCGAGGCACATTGAGCCAATCATTATAGCCGAAAATCGTAGAGATTATTAACACTTTGTTAAGACGGAAGGCACCCGACCCCGACGGTATCGCCTATATGCCTCATCAACTCTATGAGGACTCTCGGCATCAGGCCTCTCAGCCTCCTGTCAGCCGTTGGCAGAGTAGCTGAGGCGGTCATATTGCGCCACTTGATAGCATTTGTTAACACAAGTCAAGCCCCTGCAAGAGTTCTAAATTGGATTTCGACAAGGGGACTCCACTACTCAACAACTCCTCAGCTTGACAGAACTGGCCACCTGTGCCTTCAGTTTAAAGGAGGAAACGGGCACTATTTTTCAAGGGTATGCTTTACAAATTACGCGCCATAGCCCTTCCTACTACTCTTTTTAATGTGATAAAATCTTATCCTGAGGAGGGCGTCTTTAATATACAGGTGGGCGATACGCGCTCACCTCTAATACCACTTAAAGGCGAAGGCCACAAAGATCTCTTTTATCACCCCTACTCTTTGCATTTTATGCACGTACCACAGCCTGACGATCTCACCCGCGGATTGCTTTATATGCAGATGACACGGAATTTACTTCTCCCAAAGTCACCTGCCCTATTGCGCATGCATTTTCAGTACCACCTAGTAACGCTTGCTAAATGGTGTCGTGTTAAAACACATTACTATTAAAGCGGAAAAGCGTAAAGCCCTTTTTTCACAAAGAAGCGCACTACACCACTACCACCACTGAGCTTTGAAAATAGGTTAAATCCCCAGTGTCCTCAGGCGAAATACCTGGGGGTCATTATTAATAATAAGCTCTTGTTGCGGCCGCACGTAAACTATCTCACAGAGAAGGTCACGATGACAGTTCAAACTCTTTACCCCTTACTTTGTGCTAGAAACAAACTCACGCTGCACAACAAACGTTGAAATAACATTTTATAAAACTTTTACAGGTTGCTTACTTTAAGAACTAACTATAGGAATCTAGTGGAGTATCAAAATTGCAAGTTATTACTTAATACTAAAGTATTTTAAATTTTAAACCATAGTGCATGGGCTACGTACCCTCAACTTTTTTATCCTTATAGTATAACCACTAAACAAGAACAATAAAATAGATCAAATATAAACTCTTTTAACCAGTAAACAGTTAGAGTATTCCATATAAATTTAGTAATCTTAAGTAACGCTTCAAATACATTTTTAAGGAACTAAGAACTTTTTGCAAGCAAAAATTGTATTTTATACATTCTTGTTAATCCTTGTTACAGCGTCTTCAGGCGACCTCAAACCTAGTGACCGTAGTCATGGTTTTTTTGGCGGTCATCCACCACTCTTGACCAAACTGGGAAAATTTGAGCCCCATTTTCTCCGTTGTTTTTTCCGTCCTTTGGACCAGCCATTTTTACCCATTCGAAAGAATATACTGATAGGCATCTCTTTTTCTTGCCATTTTTTTTAATGGGGTTACATATTAACAGTATCCTGTAAATGAAGGGTCCGTAGAGTACATTTCCTAAATAGAAAAAGAAAAGAACGCTTAATTACCTCATTTGCCTATACATATATAATATCACAAAATAGTACTAATAATATATTCGCAGAAATAAGATTACATCCACTAAATTTTTTTAGTTAAATTTTAAGTAGAAAGCTTTAAAAGTTCTTTTTATGTTATTTTTTTTGGACTAATCATAATTAGAAACAATGAAATTCATTTTTAATTAGTAGTTTATACTACGCAGTTACATTTTGTTTCCTTATTTTTTATTGTAATGCATTTTCATTGGACTTAATAGTGAGGATTATTTTTATATGGGTATATAAAGCCTTGCTTTAAGCGGTGTTTTCGTTGGTCTCTTGTTCTGTTCCGCTAACGGTCGCCGTTACTTGGTTTAGGGATTTGCGTATCCCCAGTCGGTGTATAATAAATAGTTTTCTTCAACACTTAGGTTTAGGACTCTTTAAATATCAGTACTATCATTAATAAACATATACGGGATTTATCTGTCTTTTATTTGTTTATTATTCTCTTTCATTTTATTTTTTAATTTTTCTATTTTAAGTCTATTTTTTGTATCTAATAATATCTTTATAAGAATTTTTACGCTTACTTACATTTATAATAAACCATATTCCAGAATTTATCCTTAGTTTTGTTTTAAATGCGTTATAAAAATCTGTGTTTTATATTTAAATAAAAACTGACCAAAAAATTACATATTATTTACATCATAAAGGACATTGTTTTGTCAATTCTCTAACAAATTCATAGTTCTGAAGAGGACTCGTGTGTGAATTTTACCAGAGTTAAGTGACCTGCTTGCAAAGTTCTCCTTGTAATTAGGGACTAGAGACTAAATGGGATATGCTTTAAAAAAAAGCAACTAGAGACTGCCCACTAGCGACTTGGCTTCTTAATGATACACTTAAATCATTTATAGTGTTCAGCAAGTCGTCTAAGCTCCTTAGGGAGATGGCTTAAAAGTAAAATATATGATTTAGTGCTACCCTAATATACATGTTTATAGAATTGTTTAGTTATTAGCTAAAAATGGAGTCGTATAAGTAAGAAAGCGCAAAGGTAAAGGGTATCTATTAGAACTAAGACCTTAGCTCTGACTTTTCGCACCAGCTAATGACTAAGTCGTTGTCATTACTATTAGTAGTATATTTTACTATTCTAAAAGCGGGGACAGTGTTTTTTAAATAATTTTAATTTTTACTATTTTCCGTGACTGGAGCATTCTTTTACTAACATGTGCGAGCCCTCTAACTCCTTTGGCTGGGCAATTATTCCGAGAGGCTAATAAGTTAACATACTGAGTTAAAAAGGTACTAGGGTTGTTGAGATTTACAGTTTTATTTTTGAATCATTTATGAAAGTAAGGTATATAATGTAAATTAGTTTTTTATATACTTTGATACCAGTCGCCTTTATGAAAGTAGTGCCTTAATCTATTTTATACTTTTATAGTGAAAATCCCACTATGGTTTATGTCTGATTCCATGATACGCTTCGGTTGCAATTACTGCTCTTGTGGTGGTCACAAATTATAAAAATATTTAATAACTACGTTTATCAGGAAAAGATTATTTCTCAAGTAGTCATCTTTTTAATCTATATTTGCAATAGTTGTTAAGACTTTCCTTAGCTATGCCAGAAAAATTTGCTCGTGATGTTATTAAAATATTTGTTGCCCAAACTTGTCTGGTAAATTGCGTTTCTGTTAATATTATAAGTTTTTATAGATTTTAATTAACTCTTTACTTTGTAATAATTTTCAACTTCCGCTGTCAAGTTTCATAGCTAGCAAAATTTATAGTTTAAATCAAGACATCATTTATTAATAAACTATAGCAATATTCTTCGATGGGATCTTTTTGCCGGGTTTTCCTAGTATTGGCTTTATTTAAACTTCTGCTTTTCTAGGCTGTGGGCTTTCAGCATATTCAGGTTTCCGCTTGTGAGCTTTTAACTGAAATTTTTTCTTTCTACGTGAATCGAATTGGAGTAGGTAGTTAAAAAACGAGTATATAAACTGATTTCTTTGTGTCTTGAGTGGTTTTTTAGCTGTGGAGAAGAGAGCCTCTTTGTGCTCCCGAACCGAAGTCAACGCCTTGGATCTGCTCGGAGCTTTGACTGAGGATTTCGAAACTGGGCTCTCTCAACTACGCCAAGTTATTGACAGTATTGAAATGTCCCCTTTACCTGCTCCATCTATGGCTTCAGCGATAAAAGTCTCTCAGGAAAATCGTTTAGTTTCATTTTCTCACTTGTCTTCTGAGGAGCGGGATATATTTGAAGGCAAATAGTATTTACATAACTTTGCCGTTTAAGATCACTGTTAAATTCTTATTTTTAATTAAGAAGCTTGCTCTATCCCTGTAAGCGTCGACGATACCATAAGCTTTGAAATAACCGGAAGCTATGGAAGCTGTGGCGGCTGCCAACTCCCCCCTCTTCCTAAGAAAAGTAGTTTTTCATATTAGCAATGTAAAACATATAATTTCTTACATTTTACCAAAGTTGTTCCAATACAAAACCTTTCATATAATGAAGTATTTGAAACGAACACGGAAAATAGTTACAATTTTTTGTGGTTTGCTCCGTTTATATCAGCTAAACAGTGTTTGTGCTTAGTAGAACAATGCGCCCAAGTACTGCTTAACGAGTATGACCAAGTAACTTACACAGATAACCTATCGTTCATGTCACTTGGGGGCGTAGTCTCGCGAGAGGCTTACTCCAATAAGAAGTCACCGCTTTCCAATCTCCTTAAGGCTTCTATTTATCTTCTTGGATGAGACAGGGTTCTAATATTATCTCATAGATTTGTTTCCCTTCCGGGAGTTTTGACGATGGAGAGGGTCTTACAGACATATCCAGCGGTGCAGAGGACAGCGATAAAGAGCATATAATGGACAAAGAAGCCCTTATGGAAGCATCAGAGTCATTCAAAAACTTGTTGCGAGACATTGCCCAATCGCCCTCGCCTCCCTCGTCGCCCGTACTTGAAATGACTTCTGAAGGGCAATCGGTTCCAACCCATGCTGATCTGCTGTTCGAAGGCAAGAATATAACAGAAGACGATATAGAAGACGAAATCACACTTTCGGAATTAATTAAACAGCGGATTAAAAGGGATCTCTCGGAAGTGCCCCAAAGAATAACCCCCACAGGAAATTCATTCACTTCCGCGACTTCCGGTTTTGAAGCAATACTTGACTTAAAAGAGCTTTTTACTGAATCTCATTTGCTTTCTAAAATAGCTGAAGATAAATTACAAGCGAGTCACAATGAAGACAGTGTGGAAAAGTCTCGGGAGGCGGTGTCAGTAGACGCTAAAATGCTTGAGGGCTCTAATTTGTCTAATATTGCCGGTAATGCAACATCTCTACGCGATGCTGGTAGCGAAAATAACGATAGGGTCTGCCGTGACAGCGGTGTTAACACCAATACTTTCAGCACAACTGATTGTAATAACTTAAATGCGACTTCCATAATTATGGAGGTTTTTCCCCAATTTAACCTGGAAAGTCCTTTAACAATTCCAAGTGTGGCAGTGGAACCCATTAGTGTAAAGGGCCTGAAAGAGGAGAGTAGCGCGAGCAAAGAAAGCAATTGTAAGGGGAATGACGAGAGTGCAGTCGCTAGAATGTCACTTTACCATTCTATAGCTAACGATGTAAGCACTGATGAAGACCATCTTGGGCTGTTACATCTAGTTATAAAAAAAAGAAAAGAGCATAAACAGCGAAAAAAAATTAAAGAAAGATCTAACAAGGTATCCAATGAAAGTCACGAAGCCCATGAACAAGTAGCGAAAGAGGTTAATGAAAAAGTTGCTAACAAAAAAAATAGAAAAAGTGAAAATAAACTAAAAGTTGAAATGCCGGATAGCAATACTAAAAGTAGGATGTTTCGCAGTAGAACACCGTTCACAGATGAAGAGGAAAAAGCAAAGAAGGCACACAAGGAAACGCTGCCCGAAAAGGAGCCAGTATCATGCGGTATTTGTGCGTTTCCTTCGAACGGCCTCCCCGTAGCCACCTGCGAAAATTGCAAGAACTGGTATCACATCGCATGTGCCGGCCTCGACGAAGCCGTTCCCACAGACTACGGCACTAGCTGGTTTTGTCACAATTGCAATAAGAGGAAAAGAAAGGCTTGCCCCTACAGCTGAACATCCACTACACCGCATACAAGGTGATCTGTGGTTACCCGCCCGTATGTCTTCCCTCATCCTACGAGACTTATAACAATCTAAGTCATCAGTTTGTGGATAATAATTCTACTTCCTTAACTATCGGAATAAAACAGATAAAAATTATTTTTATTATATTTTCCGGATGCACACAGGCTATTTAACCAATATATTTGCAATATTTTGCTTAACATCAAGTATCTCTCAAAAAAGGATGCTTCAAACTTTCCGCGGCGGTGCTCCTTGTTTCTGGGTCAATTGAGAGCATAGGCAACAAAAAGGAAGAAAAAATTTCTGCCTAAACAGATGTATATAGTGAAGTCAAACCATTTTGCAGTCATTAAAGAAGCACCTCTTCCGGGTTAAAATCGTACTTTTCCAATAGAACGCTGTACAGGTCCCACGGTTTTAGGTCCTTAATATGCCTCGGCTTCCCTTTATATAAAACTTGATTAGAACAACTACGTACTAAGGTATATAATAAAAACCAGCCTTTGCTATCTAAAAACTTCTTGCTAAGTTTTCCCTTGTCGTAAAGCGATTTTGGGATGGGGCCTATAAGCTCGACTATCATGGCGAGATGGTCTGTGGAAAGCAGGTGGTGCAATAAGCGTCAGCGCACCATCTGTAGTGAAAAGACAACCTTCATCTCTTGAATAATGCCTTCCCCTTTTCGGTTGGAACAAATAGTCGCCGGTGGCTAATTCAAACAACTATAATATTTATAAGCACAAATGAAAAATTCACAGAAAGTAGTTGATACGACCCACCATGCAGGCCAGACTCCACATATCCGTTATAGTGTCATAACCCGCCTAACAAGTATTGTGATAAAAGTATTTATATAAACTGTAATAACGTAAAACTTCTAAAATGACTTCGGGGCTCCTGTACTGCCTAGTTTGTATATCATTGGTGAAGTGCTTATAAGTCCAACAAGCATTCCCTTTACCCCAAATAAGAAGGTTACGTATATAAGAAACTAACTTAAGTAAAACCAAGATCCGCCAGTTTTACGGTAAAGGTGCAGTCATTGGTAAAATTCTCTTTGCTTTTTAGTTCTTCTTCTAAGCTCACTACAGAAGAAGCGACAGATGGCGTCTCGTTAACGCTGCTCTCCTTTGTATTTATCTATAGCAAAAATTAATCAATTCTCTTTGCAGGGCTTACTAAAGAGTGACTCTTCGCAAAACAGCGCCAATAGAGAGAGTCAAGCAAAAACAAAACCTCGTGAAGAAGAGGACGTTCAGAACGTTCAGAACGTTCTTCAGCGTGTTCACTGAGAATAGTAGTTAATGCTTGACGGCACAATCTTAATATGCTCTTGTGGTCACAAGTCAGCTATTAACAAATAATTTATATAACTGCGTAGAGTGCCAAAAAACAAGCAGTAGCAATAACCAAAACGTTTTCGGGTTTAATATCGGTGTGGATGAGGCGGCAATTCTGGTGGAGATGATCGAGCCCTAAAAAGGAAAAGCAAATGAACATAATAATGACAATAATAATAATAATAATGCGACCCAAAAGGAGCTGCTTGGCGATATTCTTAACCATTGAAAGAGGGAGTCCTTCGTAATTGTACTCTTTCACAAGTTTCAGCAAGTTTTTACCAAGAACTTCGAACACGAGAACCACATCTAGTGGATGAATCAGTTATTAGTACACTGAATTCACGCTGTTCTAAGCATTACGTTTTCCGTTAGGCCCCTCAATAATGAAGTCATCATACAAATTTACAATTCGGGTTCGGCCAATCTCGTTCTTTATACTACTCACATAACAATATAAAGATTTTATACAGAAGTTGAAGGAATAAGGAAGACCCTTCAGAGCGGATAGTTTTCAGTATTTGTATTTCATCCATTGCAAGTTCAGTGTAGCTTTTATCGCTTTTGACTATTTTTAAAGCAACCAGCTGTCCATTTCTATATTTTAGAAAGAGTGAAAAAAAAGTCTATGATGGTTATGATTTAATACACACTTCAAGTCCATGGATAACCATACAGTGGAAAAGTAGCCCCAGCCCAGCTTATGCAGCACAATATAACGATCATTATAAAATTCTCCAACTTTAACTTCATGATAACCGCCTTTGCGTAAAAAGGAATTAAAAACACACCGCTCGTACATTAACAACCGTAACTGCCCTATCAACGAACGGGGAAATACACATAACGACCAATAAAAATTATTATAAAAATTCACGGGTTCGCATGAACTGCTACAGGGCGCCTAACCGTTTACAAGCTTTAAATAAGAACCAATAAACAAAAGGGTAATGGTCATATATACAACAAACAAATGTACTCATGCGGTGCTTTAGAATTTCTGAAGCAAACTGATATAAAAGTTGAAGATATAGATAACTGGGTGTAGGAAAAAAGTTAGAGAATAAAATAAACTTCATAAAAAGAAATCTGCAATGAAAATATAAACTGCTTCTTAGCTTTTTAAGTTAGAAAAAGATTTTCATAGTATAGTCATGCCCTTTGGCGAAAACAAGAGAAATAGGCAACGTTGTAATGCTAATAACAACATTATTACTTAAACCGCAGGTGTATAAAAAGAATACTTGTTTGTCCCTACTAATAACTAATGTAAAATTAGTAGGAACTAATGGTAAATAAACAGGTATAGATAACCAAAGAAAAGAATTTTTAACCACCTTGCTATATAATAACATATATAGTAATATCCGTGCCCGGAAAAATTATGTATTAGTAAAATGTAAAGCCCAAGTTCTTTTTTTTGCTTACTAAAACGATAAAAGAAGCCAAACGTGAGCGTTAGTACAAAAAGTCTGCCGCGATCACTTACCCACATAATAGTCATGAAGGTCTTCATGTTCATCAGAATCATCACTTTCATGGTTTTCAGCGCTTTAAATAAATATTTTAAATTAAAAGGATTTATAATAAATAAAAAAGCTTTTTCCGCAATTTTAAGAAACAATGATTGTAAAAATTTTTAACGCATGTATATTATAAACTCAAATAAAATAAAGTTGCAACTAAATAATACATATCGAATAGATTCTCATTAAAAGAATAAAATCCTTAGTCTACTTGTAGAGGCATCAATAACAAACTTTTATTCAAGTTATTAATTTGCGCCTATAATCCTAACTACAACTCGAATAGATATATATTTTTAAGGGTCCAAAGTAATTTAATAAAAAAAATTAAATAAAGGAATAGAGAAGACCAGGGACATTAAGGACGACCTTTACCCGCATTTAGAATTATTAAAATAGCTTTCCTTTAATTCCAGCTATAAAAAAAGGATACTATAAAATCTAAATTACCCACTACAAAAAAGTAAAAATACTTAATAACATGGACAATATTATAACTTAAACATATTATTATATATAGATAATGATAAATGGGAATCCTTTAAACACATGTCAGCAAAAAAGGGTAAATACACATCTCTATATTTAAAGCCATATTATTAAAAAATATGGTATATTTATGTAGATAAAATAGTTAAATATGGTAATTTCCAAAGATAAATAGATGGTTTACAATATATACTTACTTATTTTTAACGCTAAGGGTGAAAAGGTCTTTTCCGACACAGCCAATTCTTTCTATATTAGAAAAAATATATAGAAGTAAAATAAAAGACATAAATATAAGTACTAAGTAGCTTTTATAAGGAAGTTAATAACGTTCATTAATATACAATATAACCTAATAATGAAAAGTTATATATGCATCTAAAATGGTGGCACATGGGGTAAACAACAGAACATTCAAAAACAACAGTATAAAGTTAACAATAAAAAACACACATATATACCCTTAAGTAAGTTTTTTTGTTGTTCCGTTAAGGAAGAATACGTTTTTTGAATAATCTTATGTGGCCTATATTTTATTTAATAATAATATAATAAAGTAAAAAGAATTAATTAAAAACAAGGTTTTAGGCTAACATACCTTTCAGAGGCATGTCTACGCTTCAGCTGCCTTCGAGCTCTTTCTTTAGCTCGGAGAATAGAAGCTTGTATATGAAATAAAAGTTAAATTTATTATTAACTAATAGAATCAACGCAACTTTAAAAATATTAAACAAAGTTAAAAGATAACAGTAAAGACCAACTTACCTTTAGAAGTCATGGCTGTAAGTTGCTATTATTAATTTTCTATCTGCAAACTTAATATAATGACCTCAGCCAAAAAAATTGTACTTTTAGAATAAACTAATTTTTTCTGACAAAACACTGACGTCGACCTTTATAAGAAGCTTTACTGAAGAGGCGGGTGCTGGAAAGGGTATAAGTAATGATGTAAGAAGTTGTGGTAAAGTTTGGATGTTCACGTGGTGCTCTAACAGGGGGCTTCGTTCTTCCCATCTTGCCTATTCAGTTTTATTCCTTAGTTTAAGAGTGTGATCTTAGCATCTAAATCCCCCATAGAAAAGGTTTATATTACCTTATAGATTTTGCCTTTAACCTTTTTTTTCTTATTTTCTTATGAATTACGATGAATGATAGCGTGGACTACCTATTATGTTTTATAAAAAATTTTGAATCCCCCAATATTTTAGAAACAGAAATTTATCAAGCATCTCAGCATTTGAATATACTTTTTAATTTTATATGTCGTAATAGAACTAGCCAAAATGCAATACTCGAGAAGTTTGGTGTAGAAGATTTTATAAAGTTGCTTAATAATTCAATTTATTTTTACATTGTAAAGTTCAAGAACCACAAGACCTGGCCTTCAAATCCTGAATTATATAGCTTTAAGATTATCATCGTCCTTACTAAAAATTCTAAGGACTTTATGTGCTTTTTCTGAATCTCATCAGTCTACCATTTTGGACTATCAATTTCTCGTAAATGCTGCTATTTTTTTGCAAAAGATCATGTATTACTATAAAAGTACTTTGATGTTTAAAAAAAATTATTCTGTCATTCCCTTTCTGGATTGCATTTTCCACCTTTTACAGGTACTTGGCAATGCTTGCGTTAACAATGAATTAAATAAGAGCCTATTATGGGACTGTTTATTATTTTTTCCGGAGAAAAGTTCAGTTATATTAACTTCTGACCTTCCTTTCATTTTTATCAAATTTTTTAATTATCTGTATTATAAAGTTAAAGACATAGACATGGACCTTATAAAGGAAATTTCTCGGTTTA